ATGCATGTAGTAAAAAGCAGTTATTGTATTATTACAAACAGACAATTTTATTTATCTGTGTATCTTTATTAGGTACCTATACTCCGTCTGTTTAGGTAGTTAACTATTTGTAAACAAACCATAAAAAGAGTTCTTTATAGTTGACATTTCCATGATTCAAAATACTTCATAAGAAAATAAAATTGTTTCCATTTTTACGACAATTTTCTCTATTAAATGTTATGTTTCTGTTCCTTTTCACTTATTTCTTAGTAAATATTATATATTTCTGCTTGAGCATAATAATTTAATAACATTTATTAAATAATATAATTAAAATAGACACCATGAAGAGCCTAAAATCCCAGGTATCCAAAACCTTTCTTTAGAACGAAGCATTAGATAATGTTGTCAAATTAAAGAGTACAATTAAGATGTAGCGCGACAATGAAAGTAGCGTGTATTACGTTTAGTCGGGTAATCAGGCGCCGTTGACAGCTCTCTCGTCGTTTGCTCTCGCGTTCCTATTTTGTTGAATTTATCTTGTTTCTTTGTTTTGTTTTTATTATTAAGTTATTTAAGTTTAGGTTATTCATCGTTTGTAATTAAACTGCCAAATACCAAGCGGTCACCGGTGATCGCAACCTATTGTTCTATAATTGTGTCTACAAAACCGGTACTCGACGAGTTAATGTGTTCAAATATATTGAAGAAACTTGGCCCAAAGACACATATCCGTACAAGAAAGAAATCCGTACATCAGATTCAGAATAGTTTCTATTTAAACATGATAATGAAATAGACCCATAGGCTAGGCTCTTGTACGATTTAGGCATTTGTGCTTGTATGTGTGTGTGTGTGACAAATGAACGATTTTAATGTGAATTTAGTTTAAATTAAAACACGAGAAATATTTGAATTAATAGAAGGTTAAGTATCTCTGTGTCACGCGGTTTTGTTTGTTTACCTTTAGTTAATTACCTAAACAGATGGACTATAGTAGATATTCTGTTATATACCTACTTTGAGCACGGTTGGTGCGATGGCTGGGCAACCGGCAGCCGCGCAACGTTTTGCGGGTTTGATTCACGCATGAACCAACTCTTTGTGTGATCCACAACTTAATGTTCCGAGTCTGAGTGTACTTAGAAAGTACATATATTAACTTGGAAAAAATTACATTTGTACTTGACGTTGATACGTTTCGAACTCGCACCCTCGTGTATCTATGAGTAGCGGACGATATATTATAATAATTGTCTAAAAATGAGAATAATAAATTACAATTAAGTGTGGGAGAGCCATGCTTCGGCACGAATGGGCCGGCTCGACCAGAGTTACAGCCTCACTGAAAACAGACGTGAAGCAACGTTTGCGTTGTGTTTCGTCGTGTGAGTGAGGTTACCGGAGGCCCAATTACCCTCCCCTTCCCCAATCTCCACAATGCCTGAATCGCCAACGATCCTCAAACTCCTAATCCCCAAATAGCCGGTAACGCAGCTGTAACGCCTATGGTGTTCCAGGTGTCCATGGGCGACGCCAATTGCTTTCTATCAGGTGATCCGTCCGCTCGTTTACCGGCTTATGCCATAAAAAAAAACATTTCACTAAAACAATAAGAAAAAAATACCCACTATCTATTTTCATCACACGGCTTTAGCCACATAGATACATAGGTATTAAGTACCTTTATAGGCAAATCTCTATAAAAATGTGGTGAATTGTAAGTAGGTCCAGGCTACTGCCGATCTCTCCTCCCACCTGATTGCACTTGGCTATTGTATTCTATCGACAACCGTAATTAAGGGCACCGCACATGTAGGTACCTATCAATGGAGCTTATTGTGCCAAACGACAAAGAGGTCGTATATGACACCGCACTGTAATGTAATAATGAAAATACGATAGGCACGGCGGCAGATTCTTCACCTGAATGTCATAATCTATACAGATAAATGAAATTGAAGTATCTTGTTTGTAATATTGAACGAACTGCTGTTTACTAGGTACTTGCATACGACATAGAGGTACATACGAGAATAACACTTTTTAAAATTTTTGTCTGTTTGACTGTACTGGCTAATCTCTGAAATGGCAGGCCCGATGTTGACGGGACTTTTGTTAGTAGTTAGCTAATGTACTATGGACTAAACTTTATGCATACTTTTTTAGAAAAACGCAAGCGAAGTTGCGGGATCAGTTAGTGGAAAATAATTTTGTGCCACCTATTGACATCTGCAAGAGGATTCGCCACAAGTATGGGAAATGTGAAAATATTTCCTGATAAGTTTGGGGTTGAATTTAAATGTATGAACGAGGGATCGCCATAGATCTGGATTTGGCTACCAATTCACCTGGAGTGGGTGAAACGAAAAACAACGATTATTCGAACGGTATAAATAATGTCACCGTTGAAGCACGTCTAGCACGTAAGCAACTATTTACTGCCTCGTTAGCCGGGTGGTCGGAAGTGTGACTGCCGGGCGATTCGATTCCCAGATCGGTTAAGTATTAGATACTGGGTTTTTAAAAAAACTCAGTAGTAGCACGGAGTCTGAAATTGTGCCCGGTAGGCTCACCCCCTATTACATGGGACTCATAACATAAATAGTGAAAAGTGGGTATACATTATACAGTGGCATAATGTGCACCTCTGTCTACCCCTTCGGGGGTAATAGGCGTGATTCTATGTTATGTTATGTTCTCACTCCCGACTTGAAGAGGAAACACAGAACGTCGATTTAAATCACTAGGGTGAATGAATCATACAAATAGTCCGGTGTAATAGACATCCAATCGACAACAACACAGTGCAGACTCACTTGAAAAGTAGTCGATGTCTCGCAATTGTCACTTCCCATGTAAAAATAGACGACTGTGTACCACTCCAATCAATGGATCTGTGTTCAGTGGGTAAGTATCTGTGCAATTTTCAGTCTTATTGTGTCAATTTTGGTTTCAAAATTGATTGTAAATTGCACTATTTTGAATAGGTGGGTAGAATAATAGGCTATCTATTTATTCCTAGGTAGCTAGGTTGGTACTCGTAGAGAGGGGACTTTTTCATATAGTTATCTGTGAATTGTTCTAATTCTAAGTGGAAGTCGAACCCGCAAATCATTATGTAGCAATGTACCTACCTACATAGCACGGTTGCCCAAGCACTACACTAATGCCGTTGAAGATTTTTTTTTTTATAATTAATGAGCCGACATTTGACCTCTATCTCGCCTGGTGGTAAGCAATGCGGTCTACGATGGAGCACTTCGTCCCAAAAGCAACCTAAAGTTCCCATCAAAGCGAGCATTTTTAAATACCTCAGTAGAATAGTGAATAATATAATATACATAGATTTAAATACCTACCTTTCCTTATTTGGTACACTTTAGGTACTTCAGTTTAGTTTATTAACATAACAATTTGGGTTGTCATTGTCATCTAACTGCCAATTTCAATGACCTATGTAGGTACCTCAATCTACAGATAGGTTACTGAAATGGGCAGTAAGTCACTAACGCCCGTGGGCGACTGATTAGGGGAGTCAGTCGTCCGCTGTATGGGCGGGAGTAGGCGTTAGCGGTGTGTTCACGCGCGCCACTCGAGGAAGGAAATCGCAGCTTTTGAGGGTTACTACGCGATGGGAACTGCCACAATCTAGTGGTAGGTCGAGGCCTGCCGGGTGCGGTGATTCCGCAAGAACGTCCCGGGTCACGGCCACAGGCAGAGGAGGAACACCGCGGTGGTTTTAGCCGGTAAGAGTCCGGCACACTCCCCCGTCGTGCCCACGGCGTGGGAAGTCCTTGAGGATTTCCATCGCGTTATAAAAAAAAGTCACTAACGCCCGAATATTAATAACTACTAACGGGTACAAAATTTTCGGTTGTACTTAAACTTAAAGTCTCTGCCCTCGAATTTTAAGGGCACCGGGGCGGCGGTGACGCGGGAGCGGCAGGACCCTATGTGTAAAATCAACCCGAACGTACGGCGCGTCGCGTTCCGCGCGCGCCTCTAAGAGCCATCAGACCACCACAGATGGGGCCCAATACGGCCGATACCGATACGGAGTCGCGGAGAACCTAACGGGTAACCGGGGCTCCGACTCGACGTGCAGGAGGAACGGGGTGGTTTTTAGTGAGTAAGAGTCTGACACTCCCTCCCGCCTCACCCAGGCGGGAGCAGTCATTCGATGATTTTCCCTCCTTAAAAAAAAAATGTGTAATCAAATGGACCTCAAAAACAGCGGCAGGGCAGTGGTGCAGGGGTGGGCAACTAGCGGTTCACTCCAGTCAAGCGGTGCACACCGCGCTGCCGTCCGCCGCCGCACCGTTACCATCAAAATTCTAGGCCTATGTCGTGCTATCCAAGGACGTTCAAAAATGGCTGACACAGTCTCTTGAAACAACGACTGTGGCACCTGGGTACTATACACTTACACGCAGAACACACACACATTGCCACGAAGGACATCTGTCATTTCGTGGTTACCCTTTATACGCACACATAAAAAAGACTGACATTTTCGTGGCACAATTATTTGTAAGTGGTATTATGTACACCTTTTTTCATAACATAACATCACGCTTTTTATCTCCGAAGGGGTAGGCGGAGGTGCATATTATGCCACTGTACAATGTTACATCCACTTTTCACTATTTATGTTAAGAGTCTCATGTAATAGGGGGTGAGTCTATTGCCATATATCTGGCACAATTCCAGACTTGCTACTACTGCGAATTTTTTAAAACTCAGTAATAATCTGCCCGACTCGGGTATCGAACCCGAGACCTCTCTTGCCACTCGGCCAACGAGGCAGTCCGTTTTTTTCATCTTTGTCATTATACAAAGAATGTAGTATATTTTTAGTGACAGAACTATATAATAGAGGTATTTAAGCGTAACTTAAATTTGAGTGGAGTTTGAGTATTTCAGGGTAGGTAAGTCACGGACTCAATTCACATAAGAATAGAAACGACACTGTTTCACCTCAACAGAGCCAATGAAACAAAAAATAACAAAATAAATACAATTTTATTGGTTTATTCATATAATTTTGAGCTTATCACTATGCTAAATAACTACTTTTACATATTCCTAGTAATCGCAATAATTATGATAAGAAAATATTTAATTTCTTTCGGTTCTTATTTGGTATTGGGGAACCTGATTGATATAGATTGATTTTGAGTAATATTTAGGTACTTTCTGATGGAAGGTAAGCAACAGTACTACGATCAAAGTTTCATGTTTCTTATTTCTCATACTCTTGCCACTTAATAGAGGCTAATGGCTAACAAGCTTAAATTTTCCTTAGCGCCATCTAGTGAGAAACTTGACAACAAAAATACAAACGAATTTTTACAATTCAAACAATTTTGTCTTCTACAGCATTGACAATAAGGTAAATAGCTGCAGGTTAAAAGTTGGTATTTACAAACATAATTTAACTACAAACACTATTCTCTTTTCAACGGAATGGAATTCAAAATCATCAGACAAATCTGTGATTTGAGCTTGTTGGAATAAAATAATATTTTGCTTGTAGACTTATAATGAGAATAAAATAAAGTTATACAATAGAATTAAATGACTAGTCTTCACCAGCGGGCACAGCGTCTTCTAACCTCTTTATATATTTTACTCGTAATTCAGTTACAGCATCTCCTTTGAGTTGATCCTGTAAAAAATGTTAATTTCAGAATGACGCCACCTATGATTTCATATAGGAACTAATGTGACTGCTACTAGTTGAAGTTTCACAGTTTAAGTGATTCAGTATGCACTAGATGGCATTGCTTACGACATAATCTTGCACTCAAATAAAAGTTTATTATTTTAGGTTTCTTCCTGGTTATGACTTCAAGTTGTAATATTATGAATTGGAAACCTTTCATGACAATATTGCCTAATTTAAAATTAATAGTCTGATCACATAAATAAGTAGAATAATAATATAAATTATAGGTATGCCACCTAAATTAGGTTTTTACGGCTGGAGTAGTAAGATGAGAATTGCAATGAAGAAGTATGGCAGAAAAAGGGGAAGAATAAATCCACCAGTGGGTGAACCTGAACTAAAATGATGATGAGGCTTTTTAATTTCAAACTATTCTCTGAATATCTCACCTGCACAAACCAGCACTGTACTTCAAGCTGTACCATCTGCAGAGCTCCGCGGATGGCTCCGGGAATCAGTGCACAGTACCGCAACCCATTGTTGGGCATCTCCACCCAATCGCTCAGGGCACACTGGTCCCAGACTAGCGAGAACTCATCTCCAGAACTACTCCAGCTTGTCACTGTGGGCTGCATATTTAGGTATAACCTGGAATTTGATACTTAACTTGATGATATCTGTCATTTTTTACAGGACAATAGATGGACAAAAATAATTACAACATGGACAGGACCAATAGGAAAAAAATAAGAAAAAGAGGAAGACCATACACACAATGGGATAACGATATTCTGAGTGTGGCTGGAGTATGCTGGCTAGATACAGCAAAAGATCGAGAAAGGTGGTAGTCTATGGAGGAGGCCTTCACCTCAGGGGTTCCCTAAAACTAAACTTAATATAAAATAATATGTTTTTATACATTTCTTTTTAAATTGGGAAATATACCGCTTTTTTAATTTTTTTTTTAATTTTTTTAATTATTTTATTATCTGTTGTTTAAATGTGGAAGAATGATGAGGATGATTAAAGAAAGATTGATAGATCATGTAACATAAAGAAAAAGAGGTTCTGAGGCCTTAGAACGAGTTTGTTTTATGTTAAAAGCAATCAAACAAGACCACATTCAGTGATCTCATTGGTTGGTTCATTGAAGCTGGCCAATCAGAGTGCCGAATGCATACTCATTACAATTACTTTAGACTGTCAAACACCAAGCGGTCACCGGTGACCGCAACCTATTGTTCTATAATTGTGTCTATAATGACAGTACTCGACGTGTTAAACTGTCAAACAGCGAGCGGTCACCGGTGACCGCAACCTACCGGTTCTTTAATTGTGTCTATAATGACGGTACTCAACGAGTTAAACATAACACAAACTCAAACTAAGGCCTCAGATGTATTTCACTACCCACATTTTTGTTGTAACAGTTATTGAATTTATTTTAAACCTATTTAACCACTTGAATACTCTGATATAAGACACAATAGAAAATACATTGTGACTCGTGTGGATTTGTGTTCAAACACACGAAAGGTTAAGATATAACCATGTCGGTCTATATACTTTCGCTTCACGATATCTTTATGTTTATACTACAAACACAAGTTCATATTGCAGATATCGAAAGCAACATTACTTTAAGTCGATTACACTGCATACAATTTTTGTCTAAAAATCAGCATAAATTACAAAATGTTCCAACCTGAAAGCCTGCTGTATCTTGTCAGCGGTCTCCCTCATTTCTAGGCATCGTGTCGACGTTGTCCTGGCCAGGAAATCTTCGATTAGTCTTACGCCCATGTTGTATCCAATGCGTTCCAATTGCTTGTTCACATCTTCAGGATTTTCAGTCTCTTTCAGCATTTGAGACACTAGAGCTCCATAAGTTAGGGTTAGAAGCTCAGAATTCTGTAAAAATCATATTGATTTCTATGAATATTTCTGAAAATGGGGCGTTTGCAGTCTAATAAGATTGGTCAAAAACTTACGACTTTCTTGGCATCGAGACGGGAAGTTTGTCTAGACATTTTTATAGTTTCTATGTATCTAATTTGGAATACTGTTATTTATCAGCAAGATCACCCTTTTGCTGATTTAATTTAATTTAATCAAAAATAGGCAAACGCAAACGTAAACCACAAATCAATAACCCAAATGTCAATTGTCTTTGTCTGTCAAGTGTCAAATTTTCACGTTTTGTTCCATTGTTCTGTAAACTATTTGAAACTCAATCATATTTTTGTAGGTATCTAAAATTAAATATCGCAATTATAACAACATAACATAATATCACGCCTTTTGTCCCCGAAGGAGTAGGCAGAGGTGTACATTATGCCACTGTATAATGTAACACCCACTTTTCACTATTTATGTAATAGGGGGTGAGCCTATTGCATGGGATGCGCAATTATAACATAATTTATTTCTATTTAAAAAGTTTCAGTTTTATTTTAAGTTTTCGATGGTTGTTAAATCTTACAAATAATTCTTGATTATCGAACGAACGAAACGAAACTAAAATGCGTAATTTGAGGCCTCGAACTTAACCCAAAAACCTAGATTCCAGTACATCAATAAAAACGCTAGCTTTTGTTTTGTATCTTGAATTGAAACGTCAAACTATTTCAAAAATGTCCACACAAAGCCGTTACACAACGTAAATATTATAAATTGCGATGTTTTTATTGTTAATTGTTATAAATTACAATAAAAACCAGGAACTTTATTGAGCTATATTAATGAATTATGGAAAGAGATGAGGTCGACAAAACAAATGATGCGGGGACTTCGAACGTCATAGATTCTAGCGGTGCTGTGAATTCTTTGATACTCGATTATTACAAAAAGTTTGGTAGGAAGAGGGATTTAGAGCAGTATTTCTCTTTATCTACGGCTCAGAGTGATATAAAAGACACAAGTGGTTTGTTTTGGCGTAAAATGAAGAGTGAAAATGATTCTTCTGATTCCGGTGGTAGAAAAAGTGATTCTTCTCAAGAAGTTTGCAGAATCTCCATAAGGTGCTCGCTGCCTGAACCTATGAGTTCACAGGTAAATTAATCTTTGTTACTTATATGTTTATAACAAATTCAATAATTTCTATGCAGTTTTAGTCGAAATAAATACCACATTGTTTTTATGCTACTATGTTTCCGCCCGCGACTACTAGCGTTCTTAAATGTGGCCTATATCAATCTGCTGCCTCACTAAGTAATTATTCCTAGATGAAGTCACACACATATCTGTGAATCACGCTAAAACTACTGACTGATTTTGATGAAATTTGGTATACAGGCAGGGTATGGGCTGGCTTAGGTGATAGGATACTTTTTTTCCCGATTAAATACTCTAAAAGAACAGGAATCATATTCGATGTGGGATATTATTATATTTTATGATAATATCTTATATTGTTATGTAAAAGAAAAATAAACGAATAAACTTGTACATTTTTTTTTTCTTATGACGGTGGCATAAAGGCACACGGCCCACCTGATGGTAAGTGGTTATTGTGGCCTATGAAGGCTTGCAACACATAGGGCATTACATGCACCTTGCAAAACCATTTACAAATCTATTTACTTAAAAATAAAAATCTTATTTTAAACTAGCGATCCGCCCCAGCTTATATGCATGTATTATACATAAAAACCTTCCTTAACCCGTTGAAATCCATCCCCTAAATTTGGTCATACAAAAGTAATCTCTAAACATTAGATATAAGGTCTATAATGTAATGTAATATTAGTGGAAAGCGGTCACCGGTGACCGCTTGGGGATTTATGGGATTTATTAAAAAAACAATGCATCAAGTCCATTGCATAGTTTTAAAGATCTAACCATACATAGGGACAGACAGACGGCGGATAGCGACTTTGTTTTATAATATGTAGTGATGATAATGATAATCAAGTTTATAATCCAATTTCCAGGATGATGAGGAACAAAAAACAAAGACTGATTCCCCGCACACAGAATCTCCTCCGATCATCATTGAGGAATTACCCGCTGATGTATCAAGACAGACTGATGATGAATCCTTACACTTTGATGACAATAACTCACAGAAATGTAAGTAATCATTGAATATTGGGTTAGTCCTTGAAATTATTTAATGTTCAGTTTGTACTTGAAATAGCATGTTATTGTTTAATCCAATAACATTTTATGAAGACTTATGAAATTAATTGAATAATAATTCTTTTGCTTAGCATAGTAATTAAGTTTCCATGCAATAGCAATAGCATTCCATTTGTAAGTAGATGTTTATTTTGTTACAAATGGAGGTTTAAAATGAAGTATAATTATGATCATAGTTTATAAAAATTCTCAGTTCAAAAAATCGTTGGCCGAGTGGTAGCATGGTCGCAAGTGTGACTGCCAGGCAAGGGGCCTCAGGTTCGATTTTTAGGTTGGGCATAGTATTACAGGGTTTTTAAATCTCAGTCATACCACTAAGTCTGGCCATATATTGTGCCTGGTATAGCGCAATAGGCTCACCCCTATTTCATGGGATTCATAACATAAATAGTGAAATGTGGGTGTTTCATTGTACACTAGCATTAAGTGCCTACCCCTTCGGTCATGAAAGGTGTGATGTTATGTTTCATGTAATTTTGTAATCAACTATTTTTGTGATTGAACATTGGTGGTTTTTATAACATGTCTAATAAATACAATTATTCACATTTCAGCATTAGATACACTTCTCGACATATCTGCTCACAAACCGCTTTCCCCAACAAGTAGTATAACTTCTCAGAGAAAACTAGAATGGGACTCACTTGCTGATGTAGGATACGGCAATGAAAGTGACAGAAAGAACTCAGCATCAAGCCTTAGCACTTTAGAAAGACTCGCTTTAAAACAACAATATTCCAACAATGATTCGAAACAAGAAATTGGTATACCCACTTCCCATTCCACTCCGCTTGATGAAAATGAGAACAAATCTAAAATTAAAAAAGGCATAGGAAAGAAAACAAAGTTTTATAAAAAAGATGTTGATTTCGTTGAAGTGAATGTTCCACATACTTCTGACGCAAATCCTCCTCCGTCCATCAATGTCAATCTTACTAAACACATTTCTTTCAATGTTGAAAGAGATGGTGGTGTTACTATTGATAATGTTAAGAAGGATGTCAGTGTTTCATCTCCCGAAAAAGTCAGTGTAGACACATCTTATGTAGGCATGGATAAAGAAATACAAACTACATTGCCTTTAAACAAACCAAAGGAGAAGTCAAGCAGTCCAGATGAAGCCCCAAAACCAGTTGATCCTTACAATCAGAAGATTCCAGTAATGATCAGCTTAAATACGTTAAGAAAGAGATTGAGAAAGAAAAAGGCAAGGAGTGTGAGAAGAAAATTAAGAACTAGAAAGCAGAAAGAGGTTAATAAGGATGAGACACCACAAGAGAAAAGTGGAGCTCAGTTGTCAGAAGCGGAGAGTTTTGAATACATGCCTGGGCATGTGTATAATCAGAATAAGCTAAAAGACAATGCACCAAGGCTGGACAATAGTGCTGCTGGGAACAAATCCAGCCTAGAGTCCAGCGGTCTCACTACAGATTCTAGTAAAGGATCCAAACATTCCATCACCAAAGACTTAGAACAATGTGTTGAGCTATTAAAACATACTTTGCAAAAGCGCTATGACGATGGAGATATGAAGAGAAAGCTGATAAAAGATATTGTCGACAGATTAGTCAGTTCAAAGTATAGAAATGATTATAATTCTGACTTTTTGTCTGGTGTCAGCAGTAAGAGAATGGGTATGATAGGAAATAATACTACAACAAGCACTTCTGATGCTAATAACACTGAAGATAGTTCAAATAAAAAGCCAAAGAAATCTATTCTACGAAGCGAAAAATTCAACCCTAATGTTGTAGCTTCAACGTCTCAAAGTGCCCCAAACTTATTCAGTGCGTCTATTGAAAAGGTTACTTCAAACTTAATTAAGCCTGTAGCTTCTAATACTGAATCAGATGTGTCTAGTAAAGAAAAGACTTCTTCGGAAAATGGTTTCCCTAAAACTTCATCTGAAGAACTGTATTTAAAGTACCTAGAAGCTCTTAGACGTGAAGAAGCTTACAAAAAGCATTTGAAGGATAAAGAAATGTTCTTGAAACAGAAATTAGTGAAGTCTGATACATCTTTCAAAGTACCTGTACGCCAAGAAGCGAAAATTAATAGTCGATTGAAAGATTTGATGAAAGACTTGACAAGAAACAACTATGATGATGGATCAGGAGATGCTAGTAAATTAGAAGGGGGCTCTTCTATCAATTTGGACATAGACAGGTTAAGTGCCATACGAAACCAAAGAAGTCACTCTGTGTTTACTCTTTCCTCGAGTCAATCTGATGCCCCTAAGCGGCCGAATCTGAAAAAGAAATTGCAGGCTGAAAGGGAAATAGAAGAAGCTGGTCCAAGTCAAAGTCATTATTGTTGTTGTCCTCACCATTACTTAAACACCAAACCGGAGTTTTCAGACAGTTCTGTTCAGGTGAATATTAAAAATTGTGGCGACGATATTCCAGTTGAAATACCTTGCCCGAGTAAAGGAAAAAGTTGTTTGATAATGCCAGGCGATAGCAAGAAATCCAAATCGGAATGCCCCAAAAATACTCGCGTTGTTCCCGACAGTCATACGAGTGACATTAAGTACGTTTGTCTCTGTGGTGGTAAACAAGTTTGTGCGTCTGAAGTGGGCGATAATTTTATGATATACAGGTGTTCTAAATTGACCAATTGTGGCATACAGCCCGAAAATCCTTTGAGAATCAATAATACTGCTATTCAATGTGGATGTTGTGACATTAAAGATGATAAAATTGAATTACTACAACCGCCCTGTAAGATGAATACTTGTACAGATAGCAGTTGTTCGGATCATACGTCAAATCCTCAGAAACATTCGAAATCTTCTCAAACGAACATGCTCATTAATATGTGCATGAGTAACTTCAAATCTTCGAGTTCCGAAATAAAATTATGTGGAACCGCCACTAAAAGTATTGTGTGTCCGAAAAAATACTTTGTATCTGAAGCCACTAGATGCCTTCAGACCGAGATTAGTATTAACCCTCAAATCGCTGATCCTAGGTTATCTGACATCAATATTATTTGTAACAACGAATGCGCTAGACTTGTTTGTGAGCAACGTAGAAGAGTTTCTGCGTTCAGTATTGAATCGGAAGGAGGAAAAACGTTCAGCGATGTCAGTACTAACAGCACATCAGACAAACTTTTAATACAGTCTGGAGGTAGTTGTTGTAAATCAGAAATATTATCTAAACAAGGAAGCGAAGATAAAGACTCTAAAAAAAGCTCAATGATCGGAAAAGATTATACAATACCCATTGTTGGTACTAATATGACTTTGACAGTTAATTTGGGCCCTGATTATGTTGAAAATGCCGGCCCAGTTGAAGCAGGCGTGGTTACTGAGAAGATATCACAAGCTGATCAAGAAACGTTAGCGATTGGTGAAGTGTCAAGATCTGCTCAATGTTGCCTGAACCCAGAGTGCACAAAAAATTCTAAAACAGATTCTGCGGTTTCGTCCAAAACCTGCTGTTTAAATAATAAGTCTTCTGGCATTACTTTTAATACGTATCCGGCTGAAAAAGTGAAGGCAAAAACTCCTTTCTTAAGATCAAATACAGATATAGACAAAAGATTATCAATAAACACGTGCATTCAAACTGATGAGATTCGAACAAAAGATATGGAAACTAATAACAATCAAGAAACTGGAATATATAGCAACTCATCAGTTAACACTTCCGACAATAGTAGTCAAGTAGAGGACCAGGTACAAACCGTCAACGTAGCACTAACAAAAGGATTCAGAATTGGTAGAAATACAAAAGATAATAATAAAACGGATAGTAACAGACCTGAAAGTGGAAAAGCCGATTGTTGTAGCTCGAAACGTAAAAACACGGATGGTAGTACAATAGGAAGTACAAAAAGCAATAAGAATGAATCAAAAACTGACAGTGGCAAGGCGGATGGCTGTAGTTCGAAAAACAAAAAAACGGACAGTAGCAAACCGGACAGTGCAAGAAGCAATAAGAGTGAATCAAAAAGTGATAGTGATAAAGCCGATTGTTGTAGGTCGAAAAATAAAAATGCGGATAGTAGCCAAACTGATAGTACAAGAAGTAATAAGAATGAACCAAGATATGAAAGTGGCAAAGGCGATTACTATAGTTCGAAAAATAAAAAGAGTGACAGTAGCAGCCCAAACAGTCCAAGAAGTAATAAAAATAAATCGCTGAATAGAATTGACAAAGTAAATGTAGGTGTACAAAAAGATTTACCAACTGAACGAGTTAAAACAAAAAATGTCGACGTGGAAACTAATGATATACCCACAAAAAATGTAAGCATTGAAACTGAGAATAGAGAAGAATCTGGCTCAAATGCGTGTTGTCAGACGGAAGATAAAGAAAAGCCTTCTTCCCAAGAAAAACACAGGATCCATGAAGAGAAAGAAAAGGTCAATATTCTGAACAATACTGATCAACCCTTTGGCAATGAGCCAAAAGATAGAAATTTACCTGAAAGTTGTTGTTTCAATGTCAACTGTCCTCATAATTTTGATTCCAAAGGACCCATCATAGACATGATACAAGACATAACACGACGATATTCCAAAAAAGACATGATAAAGATTAAAAAGAACAAATGCTTTTCGGAAATAATTACAGTACTGAACTATCTTTTGGAGACAGACGATAGTACAGATCCGGAACGAAAGACTTGTTGTAGCACGAGTACGGATACGAAATTAAGTTCAGACAAGGGAAAGAGGAGTAAACTGTCTGAGTGTTGTTCGGATCAAATGGTGGATAAAAGCGTTCAGCTTTCGTGCACGAAATCTAAAGTGACTCGAGTATGCACGGATTCCTCCGATCTCCCTTGTTCTTCAGACTTACCTACGACTTCATCAGATTCCGCTGCCTGCAAAGTACTAAACAAGATCAAGAAGGAATGCGAGAAATTTCACCAAAAAGTCAAATGCAAGGGCAGAAAATGTGAAGTTTCCAGCAGCACTTCTGTCAACTGCGAAAGATGCAAGAAAATTCACCATTGTGCCTGCAGGACCCACAAGTGTAAACGATCGAAGGCCTTTGAGAAGTTGCAGAAGAAATGTATCGCTTACAACTTGATTATACAGACTTCGGAGAGTATGTTGAGCGAGGAAACAGTTTGTGAGAACAAAAGTCGTCCTCTTAAGAATATTATTTTGAAAGTCCCGAAAAAAGGGAAGAAGGAGGGTTGTTATAAAGTGGAACAAGAATGTCGACGGCCGAGTCCAGTATGCAGTCCAAAATGTAGTAAAAATAGGCCGAGGAGTTGTTGCCACGAGAGCGAAACATCTGATGAATATGCCAAGAGAATGGAGATGGCGACTGTTAGAGAATATTTGGAACAGAATCGCCCGGACTTTGTGAAGAAGACATCTCAAAGGCAGGATTGTTTGAAGTTCATCAGTGAAAAAAGGTCAGTACATTATTGTGGTCTATAAACTAACTAGGACAGGTGACGTTACGCCACCTGTACGACGTAACGCCAGAGTGGTACCGATGAGGGAACGAGATCTCGCTAGACGACTTGTATAGCTCTGTTTCTTTTACTTAGGACGTCATAATAACCCCGCAAGTCATGTTTCTGGGTGTTTATTACTTGGTCGGAGTAAATATTTTATAGTTTTGTTTAGAGCTTTTGTAAAATGGGGTTTAGATTTATACAATGGTAGTCCTTTTAGCGTATTTAGACAGTCTTATTAATAATACAGTAATTAAGAACTCACCGATGTTTCTCACTACAGACATGTACGAGACCGATACATCCCAAGTTTGAAAATGGTCGTTGTACACAAACCTAGATGTATGGGTAATGTGTCATCTGCCCCTGTTTACTGTGGAGGTATCTCAACTTTTGTCATTGTAAATTAAACCTTAGCATAAGTAGTTTGAACATAGAAACGATTAGAATGATTTTGTTATATTTTCGAATGGACCTTTATGTTGCGCCTTTCGCTACTACGCAAATTGTAAAGAGAGATTTTTAGGAAATGTATAAATGTCTGAATTATTCCCTAGCCCTGACCTGATCCTTAATACACGTAAAGGTTAACCTAGATCCCAGGTAAAGATAAATAATGATACTTTTGTAGGTATGTGCTACAAAAGTTGTGATTCAGTTGAGTCATGTATCCCCTATGCGAGCGCTCCCTGTGTATCATGTAATCCATGTGAACTTACCAAGCCGTGCATGCCAACCAATACGTGCAAATGCACACCAAATCCTTGCGATCCTTGCAATCCTTGCTACGGTTCTTGTAAACCTTGTGTCGATCCTTGTAACATGCGTTCCTTGCAAACTATTGGTGAGTTCTTAGTTATTTTTCTTGTAGGTACATATGTAGTTGTAGATAAATAGATGACTTTGGATAGTAGATATTTGGACAACTTTAGTTAGTGAATGTTTGATGAGAAACTACACTTTTAAACAAAAATAACTCTTAATGAAATATATAGTATAAAGCGCCTATGTATGTATTGACTTTAAGTCGCTTGAAGCGCCATCTACAGATAGCGAAAATGTTTTGGTGTACTATTCTATTGACTATACAAGACATTTAAAGGATAAGACCATAATCTACCCCTGTTGCAAATTTTATCCCGATCCCTACAGCCGTTTTAACGTGAAGGAATATTAAACAAACAAAAATATACAAACTGACCATTATAATATTAGTAGGATAGTCGAGCGTTTATAACATCCTTGTGGGTGGGCAGTAGCGTTAATATTTATATTATTGTCACTAATAGTCAGCATTATACTTGATTGATTGTACGTACTTTTCAGAGCCAGTGAACGGGCATCAAAACGAGACTTGTTATCGATGCACGTGGAAAAACAACCAGATTTAACGAAGCTCACTTCTGAGGAGCTACAGCAACTTGCCAAGGATATCGGATTTGATTTGCGAAACAAAAGAAGTGAGTAGACCGGACTTTGTTTCTCTTTTGTAGTTTTTAATTCGGTTCCAATACGATATACGAAATATTATTTTTGTAATCTGTGACTTGTAAGATCTAATAGGGATGATGACAGTGTATGAAAATTAAAAATGTAATTAGTCCGTCAGTTAGGTAATGAAAAAATATTAGACACGTATTTTTTTATTTTGTTGTATAATAAAATGATACTTAGATATAACGAATCAAAGTTTAGTGGGGGCTAAAACATCATTTCTACGTATAAAATGTTCATAGAAGTGACGTCACACGACATTTCAAATCAATATAACGTCGAAACTATTCGTTTCCGTAAAAAAATTAAAAATACGTGTCTAATGTTTTTAAATAATCTACCAGACGGACATTAAATAAAAAATAGTCATCTACCCTATTGGTGTGACTTCAGAAGGCTAAGTACGAATTTGTTTTACGTTAAAAGTTATCGAAATGAGACCGCATTCGTGTTCTGATTGGTTGGTTTATTGGAGCCGGCCAATCAAAGTGCGGTCTCTTTTTGATTACATTAAACGTAAACTAGTACTAAGGGTTCTGATCGGCATTTTCTCAAGCGTTTGTAAATAAGATTTATCTTGTGTCAAGTACAAGATAATGACGTAACTGCGGAAGAGACATTCAATTTTATTTAAAAAGAAATTAAAGTCAGTCGTGAGGTAGTCCGGTCTCTACGAAATTGATTTGTCCGACAGAGTATGACTCGATCAGTGAGGATTTATCTCTTATATATTATTTGACGCAATAAAGACTAAAATCCATTGACATCACATCACAATTACGAATAGTTTTAAACTCGCAATGTTTTTGTTACTTCCAGCTGCCCCAAAATTCATTAATGAACGTGAAATGAAAAAACATTCGGAGAAGATTTACAAAACTTTGCCAGAAGTGGTGCAAAAGAAGGAAGAAAAGAAAAAGGAAAATATCAAGAAGACTAATTTATTGATGGCTAATATATTTAAAAAGGTGAGGTTTTAATAGATTTTATGTTATTTTTTATGGTATAAGCCGATAAACGAGCAGACGGATCACCTGATGGTAAGCAATCGGAGCCAGAAACACCAGAGGCGTTACAAGTGCGTTACCGGTTTTTTGAAGAATAGGAGTTTGAGGATTGTTGGGGATTCAGAGATTAGCGAGATTGGGGAGGGCGGGGGGAGTAATTGGGGCTTCGGTAACCTCACTCACACGACGAAACACAACGTAAGCGTTTTTTCACGTCAGTTTTCTGTGAGGCCGTGGTATTACTCCGGTCGAGCCGGCCCATTCGTGCTGAAGCCTGGCTCTCCCACGATTATACTAATACAAATCTTTTAAGTAACTACTTATGCAAGTTGAGTCTATTGCCGTATACCGAGCACAATTCCAGACTCCGTGCTACTACTGAGAATTTAAAAACCCCCAGTAATACTTTGCACGACCCGGGAATCGAACCCGATACTCCTAGCCCACGGTCGTACTTGCTACCACTCAACCAACGAGGCAGTTTAATCACTACATAGTATAAAACAAAGTCGCTATCCGCCGTCTGTCTGTCCCTATGTATGCTTAGATCTTTAAAACTACGTTACGGATTTTGATGCGGTTTTTTTGAATAGATAGTGATTCTTAAGGAAGGTTTATATGTATAATACATGCATATTGCATCCGTGTGAAGCCGGGGCGTGTCGCTAGTTGTATATATACCTATAAAATGTTTTTTTTTTCAGAATCTCCAAAAGCAAGCGTTGCGGGGATCAGTAAACCTTTCCAACTATTCACCTGTTATAAAAATTTGACACATATCAGTATTATTCTATGTTAAATTTGACCAAATGTAATGTTATGTACCAGTTCGTTGACCAATTGTTATATTCATGTTTGTCCCAGAATTTATAAGGGTATAAACCCATTTTTAATAATTATTATTAACTATTAAATTTCTATTTTACTATGGAATTTGGTTTTAGTTTTAATTACTGCCTTCCTATTTCTAACTTGGGCCAACGTTTGACTACTATCTCGCCTAAGCGATGATGCAGTCTACGATAGACCTCGTCGTCCCATAAGCAACCTATTCACTCGGGCCTTGAAGGCAACCAGGTGAAATACCCTTCAAGAAATACAGACTGGTAAAGAATTCCACTCTTTAGCAGTACGCACAAAGAAGCTTGATGCGAAGCGCTTCGAGCGTGTGGGTGGGACATCTACCATGAATCGGTGACGTAATTAGTTGAAGGTAAGTAGTGAACAACCCTAGCGCCATAGTTATTACGTCACACCTCGCCAGATAGCGACAGAGTGACGCGTTAGAAGAGAGCGGCAATATTTAGGTGAAGTAACTCTATAGGTATTGAGCGCGTAAGCAAGCTAAATTGCACCTTGTTATTTAGTGAAAAAATTCGCTATTTCAATAAGCTATTTCGCCGCGTGGTGCTTCTGTGGTACAGGTCAAGTTGGTGTTACATTATTTTATTAAATCACCTCAATTCTTGCCGCAAAAATTGAAAGGCTTTGTATAACAATAACATAATTATTATTTTATTAATAAAACTTATAGCAATTCATTCTTTTTCGCCGCAACGAGTTCTTTCAGCTTCCGTCTGTGTACTTTGGTTGAGGTGGTCAAAGGTAACTCCTTCAGGAACATTACTCCTCCTCGGAGCTGTTTGGTGTCCGTCAGGTTTTCTGAAAATACACAATATGTTAGAAGAGTAAAGTTTTAGATAATCTTCCGGCGGACGACCGGGTTACTGAGGCCCCGGGTCGAAGCAGAACTTGGAACAAGATGGTTATTATTCAGTAAAAGTCTGGCATTCCCTCTCGTCCCACTCAAGGCGGAAGAAGTCATTGGATGATTTACCTCCCTCCAAAAAAGTTATAGTTATCTTCAAGGCACAATAGGGTAGTTTCGTCAATTTTACTTTAATGTCCCTTTGCTCAGCAGTCACAACTTGCGACCACTCAGTCGACACAGTAATTGATAGTTCTCTAATTAAGAATACCTTTGACTAAGTTCTTGATCTCATCAGCGGTGACTTCGAATCCTGGCCGTTGTACTACGCACGCCACAGGCAATTCTCCATCGTCTGGATCAGTTAGGCTGGTGACAGCCACGTCTAACACTCCTGGGTGCTGGCGAATCACAGCTTCTAGCTCCACGGGGGAGATCTGGAATAGATAAAAAGCATATTTTTGTCATAGCTACGAACCTACATGATTATTGCTAGGTTATTTTGTTACTGTCAATTTGAACTTTCGAAGTGGGCTCGATCGTATTCTCGCCCGTCATTGGTCGAGATTATTTTCACTATCAACAACATGACTGCACCGTTGGCGCGGTGTTTGGGCAACTGACTTACGCGCAACGTGTCGCGGGTTCGATTCCCGCACGGAACAACTCTGTGTGATCCACAGATTGTTGTTCCGAGTCTGGGTGTCATGTGTATGTGAACTTGTATGTTTGTAAACGCATCCACGACACAGGAGAAAATCCAAATGTGGGGCAACGTTTAAAAAAAAGTCTTACCCGGGGATTTTACCTGCATGCCACCATGAAATCATCATCATTTCGAAAACAAGAAGACACCATTGTCTTCTTGTTTTCGAAAGCTAGAAAATAATAATAGTTTTCTATGACCTAGATATACTTAACCAATTTTCACAAATTCCATCCTGCTTACTTTTTTAAGCCGGTAAACGAGCAGAGCGAACCACCTAATAATAAGCAATCGGTGCCGCCTATGGACACCCGAAAAACCAGAGGCGTTACAAGTGCGTTGCCGGCAATTTGGCGATTAGGAATTTAAGGATTAGGGGAGGAAAGGGGAGGGGTAATTGAATTAATGTCTTCTTTAAAATTTTCTTTTATGACGGTTATCACAAGGTTAATGAATACTAACCTGATGGTTCCTTTATCACAAGGTTAATGAATACTAACCTGATGGTTCTTATACTTCAGCAACAGTTTAATGCGCTCCACAAAGAAGAAGTTCCACTCCTCATCCCTGTACATCATGTCACCAGTTTTGAACCATTTGTCTTCAGTCAGCACTTCTGCTGTCGCCTCTGGATTATTGTAGTATCCCTGCAAACATTGACAAGTAATTAGCTGCAGTTTTTTTCAAAATGTGGTATCACTTTCACTTCTGAAATAGCTAATCTCAACCTAACATCTGCGGATTAAGATTTATTTTTAGATATGATAGATAATAAAGCTTCTCTTGGAAAAGACCAAGCTCCATCGTAGACCGCATCATCGCTTACCACCAGGCGAGATAGTGGTAAACGTCTGCCTATCAAATACAAGGCGTTGTTTTAAAGCCGCGTCATTTTCTAGGAGGTAACTCTGATAACGATTTTGAGTCCGAATCAATAAAAAAATTTGTAGGTAAATATTTTTCATTTTTCTGAATTTACGGAAATCTGTAAGTGCGAAGTACACGCCGCCGTCTTGTAACTAGTTTTATAACGCGGCTTAACACACAAAAACTCAAACACGTAATTGATATTATTCCTAATTCCATAAAACTCTAATAAGAAACATTGCTATCGCTTATTCTGAAATACTGTCGAACTTAAACGATTTATTATAGCCGTATTTTTAACTATGGACCCGAAATTTTCTCATACATTGAACCTTTATGACTTCTGTGACATGCCCTCGAGAAATGACACGGTTTCAAAACTACACCTTGTATATCGCCGGTTGAAAGGCTAACTAATTGATCTAAGCGACATTTTTTTGTGATATTGTTAAATGCCTACATCACGGCAAAGAGAAAAAACATGTATTTAACTTAAATTTAACCGTCAATATAATAAAAAAAACATTAGATCGCTCCGAAGATAAGGCTACCAGATAGCTGTCAGTTAATGGAGTTTGAACTTCACGCGGTCAGTACCATAGTAGTATCTAGCTAAAGAACTAAATTCTCAAAAGCAGTACCGGTGTTGCTTTCTTACCTTGAAATATCCTGGAGTTTGGATCCATAGTTCTCCTCTTTTGTAAGGCTCCGTAACTTCTTCTCCAGTGTCAACATCCACAAACTGAAACATATTACAGTTACAGCGTAAGCATATAAACTCGAAAGTGCAGAACATTTTTAGCTGTATGGTGTTTCGCTGGTTTTGTGACCTGGGTGCAATCGACCCACCGAACAACTTTGCCAAATCCACAAAGACCCTCTACAATTCTACATGAGCATTAATTCATTTATCAACAGCCTTTTCTCATCCACTACTGGACATAGGCCTCTCCATTGGTACGCCACTGAGCTCGATCTCAAGCTCTACGCATCCAACCACTACCAGCCACTTTGCGGATATCATCACTCCACCTAGCTGGACGGCGCCCTACACTACGTTTGCCCAGACGCGGTCTCCACTCTAGAACGCGACTACCCATTCATTCATTCATTCATAACCTCACGCCTGTCTCCCATGGAAAGGCAGAGACTACGGAACGCCAAATGCTTCGATTATTATAATTCTACATATACAGTAACCTACGACCACGACACAGGAGAAAATCCTAGTGAGGGGCAACCCTTATTTTTTTAATAATTAGGTACTTTATATAATAACATAACTTAACATCACGCCTTATATCCTCGAAGGGGTAGGCAGAGGTGCACATTAAGGCACTTAATGCCACTATACAATGTAATACCCACTTTTCACTATTTATGTTATGAGTCCCATGTAATGAGTATATTGCCATATACCGGCACAATTCCAGACTCCGTGCTGCTACTGAGAATTTTTAAATATCCAGTAATACTTTGCCCGACCCCGGAATCGAGCCCGAGACTCCTTGCCCGGCTGTCGCACTTGCGACCACTCAGCCAATAAGGCAGTCTAAGGCGTAATATAACAAGTTCAGTTTATCTCGTGTAAAGTAGTTTGTAGGCGTTGAACATAGGC